CTTTTCTTATCAGGTCAAAATCCTTGAAACGGCATGTATGCAGAGTTCGATTGTAAACTCTGTGTTGACCATAGTGGCTCATCTTCTCCCTTCCTCAAAATAGATCCAAACCCTGTCCACCTTAAATTTTACCACTAACCTTGTATGCATTGTGAGTTTGGCAGCGATCAGTGAATTTCGCTTCTCGGTATTTCGCTGTACGATGAAATGATGATGTGAACCGGAGTAGTAGTGCATTCAGCATGTTCCAACAGAGGTCTTAACACTTGGTCGAGGGTTTCCCTAAATCTCCATGTCCGAGAGCAGTGATCAGGCTGTGGTGATTCGTTTTCCGATCACCATTGCTCACGGTTACTCATTTGTGGCAGTGTGAAGCGAACGTACTCGGGGCTCTCGCAGCAAAGTGGACAAAGATGTGCGATAGGATGGATGTTCCTCGGCTTGTGTTCTCGCAGCTAGAAACTAGGCGAGAATTTACGGGCAACGAACGACAGCGGGGAACGGTGATGGAGAGACGGGTCAAGGGGTGGCAAGGAAACGTTGGCAGACAGGTCCCCTCCGTGGGTCGGGATTAAGGTTAAATCTGCACGGGAAAGCAAACAAACGCCATGAACCGAAAAGGTCCAGTGAGATACAAGCACTCACAATTCAATATTACCGGTGCGGTTGTCAAGCGTTACACCTTCGACACGTAGCTAACTGTTCCTAGTCCACCACTTTCCAGACAACTGGCTTACAAGCTTTTCGGCTGCTATCTGAGTGCTTGTCTAGGCATCGTTAGCACGGGAATTGTACCTTTAGTGTGTGTGATGATGATGATGGTTTGGTTCCTCATGTACTAAACTCCACTACTCGGGATGATAGCAGAGAAAATTGACATAATTCTACCACAGCAGCTACCTCTCTTCTGATGAATAAGTCTCAGCCGAACTGTCTTAAGAGGACCGAAAAGCTCGTCCGACGCTCACCAAATGTGTGGTGACATCCGGCTGTGTCCATGAAGAGTGAAGTTTGCCGTATCGATCCCGCGAATCCCATTATGTGATGCAGATAGATGCAGGTAAAAACATCCCGACCAGCAATGTGAAGTGTTGTGTTCGAACACTCGTCCAGATGTTTGATCTACATTTATCACTGTCAATACCTTTGGCATGTGTTACGCATTTTTCCGGTTGTGCTTCCTCGCCTTCTGGTATTTGCCGTAACAGGTACTTCTTTCTTTCTGGTTTCTTCTTATTACACACCGGTGTGCGATGAACAGCAGAGAGAGCGGACCCCATAGTAATAAAGACCTGCTGTTTGGTGATGGTAACCAGCATCCTGATCCCCGGGACTTAGAGTGGTAAACCAGTAAGGTCCCGCTGGGTCACACGTGGTATAGAATCGGGCGAGAGAAAAGCTATCTACCACCAAAGTTGGGTGACGGTGGCTGGCCTCGGACCACAGGGTCCAAAGCACGCCGATGACAGAAACTAAACCATTGCGCCACCACCACCACCACCTTGATGAAACTCATGGGAGGCTTTTGAGCAAACTTATAAAAGCTTGAGTTAGCTGGCTTGATCGTGTTAGACTTCTGAGCAGGGTCATCAAAACAAGCTTACGAAAACGCATATGTGATCTAATTATCGTTAATCAGGGCTCTCATGGGTCAGTGTATCTACTACTGGAATTTAGTTTACTCCAATTCCATTCAGCTTTTCGCTTGTTCTCACTCGCATTTTTGCTTGTTTGTCTCTAATGGGCAGCCGAAGAACAATAACAGCCCAAACTCCCTTTTAAACTTTTCAACGTACTGCTTCGTTATCAGTTCACCAAACGGGTAACCTGAAGACGGTACCCAAAACTATGCGGGGTAGTAACCTTGCCTGCTCCACGAATCTACGTCTCGGGCTGTAATCTTGGCAACAACTACGGTTTCCGGTCATCTCCAGCAGATTACTAAGTCACAGTTTATATTCACATCCCGGTTCGTCCCCTCTCCCCGTTTGATGTAAATCACACTTTCCTACTAACCACGAGATGCGTGCCTATTATCGTGAAAGAGCTAGCCAAATGGCTACACGAAAGTACAGCAGCTAATTGTCGGTTCATCTGCGTAGTCAAATTCATGTTATAATTTCCATCACATCGAGTCACCAATTCATACCTGCCACGTTCTTTTTCTTGTGCTCCGTCTGTCTGTTCGCTTCGTTCATCCAGCTGTATGATTATTCATTGGACATGTGGTCTGTGGGATGCGTGTTTGCCAGTATGCTACTGCGACGAGAACCATTTTTCCACGGACACGACAACTACGATCAGCTGGTTCGTATCGCACGAGTACTGGGCACGGATGAGCTGTTCCAGTACCTAGCCAAATATGAGATCAAATTAGATCCGCGATTCAACGATATCCTCGGTCGGCACACACGAAAACGTTGGGAGCGGTTTGTGAACGCAGACAACCACCACTTAGTGGTCAGCGAAGCGTTGGACTTGTTGGATCGTCTGTTGCGCTACGATCATCAGGACCGGCTCACGGCCCGAGAGGCGATGGAGCATCCATATTTCAGTAGGTTATGCTTGATGTTTTTTTGTTTGTTAACTTGTTGGTTTTAACGCACAATTCAAGCAGGCTGCATTGTGTTTGTACCAGTCTGCTTCCAGCTCCACGGTTTGAATGTGTTCGGGAATAAAGAAGAATTTTAGTTATCATAGAGACTGTTCTATTTAATTTTTATCTAATTCTTATTAGAAATGGGTTTAACAAGATATGGATTCAGTGTCCAGCTTGTTGCGGACAGTTAACAGCGAATGCAATGAGGTTTCACCGTCGTGCGTTTTTAGAACAAACGTATCCTTAAGATATACATATACATCAGTCCCCTCTTCGATTTGGTTGGCGTCTTGATGATATTGATTGACCATGACTGAATGCTACTCATCCCAAGTATTTTTTTCGGTCTTTGAGAATCAATAGTTGCACAATTGTTTCCCTCAATGCCCTTTGTTTTGAAGTACGCGCTCTTGAGAACACGCTTCAACCATTTACACCTGATAAAATATGATCCGTAGTCGACACGTTTTTTTATTTATCCAAATTAGATGCCCTGAACACGACAAGCGTACAATAACAACACAATAATGCTTAGATCGCTTTAAACAGCTCAAGTACAGAATTACCGAAACCAGCCTTTTTTTCGAAAGCGCCGTGAATAGTGATTGAAACTGGAAGTTTTCATGGGAGATTTTCTCGTTTTCGACGTAACTAACTTCGTTGAAAAGCCAGAAAGCATTGGTCTGCTGTTTCCACCTGGTTGGGTCTCTTCAGCGATGCGAATCCATCGATCCATCTGGGGATAGAGCCTGCGACCTCACAGGTAGCACGCAAGCACTTGACCACTAAGCAGCATCTAATCAAACCGTTTTTCATCTTGAATAATGTTGTGTACTGACTGTTGCTGAGACTGCTATCGCATCACCAACTTCCGAGCCGAAGAAGAGAACACAATTAAAATGGCACAGGACAGTATATTAGAGAAACGAGTGTCTTCCTTTTTGTGTCGTCCTTACGCGTTAGCATTCGTTCTCTTTTATTGCGTCCGGTGCGTTCTGAACGTTCGATATCAATTGGCCAAGTCGTCGAACCGTCCGTGGTGAAATACAGTGAACGATCATTTCAGGCCGGAGGCTCACCCAGCTGCGGCTTTATTTTTTTATTTGGCTCTTCTCGCCAAACATATGACTTTTTCGACCGGATTTTTCTGGAATTTAAACTTCCTGACACCTCCCCTTATTGGATGATCAGTTTAAGACTTCCGTCTTGGATCAACTTGAAATGGCGTAACCTGCTTTCTAATACGATCGGTCCGCCGTCTTGGTTGCATTGTGGGGTCACTGACTGTCGGCTTGGGTGGAATGTCAGCTACAGATGGGGATGTTTTCAAATTAAAAGTTTCCCGTAGCAGGTCGAGGTTCAATGAGCTTCCTCGATTTATAGGAATTGGACACTGTTCAGTTGGTTGGCACAGTTGGTTGATGTGCCGGCTTCAAAGCGAAGTACTTGGACATTGTGGGTCACACGACCAATTCTTTTTTGGATGTGTCCGACGGTCCAGTTCGCGTGACCACGGCGGTGATCTCTGACGAGCACGCGATCTCCTAGTTAGAATACCAATACATCTTTTGACTCAGTGTATGGGTTGGTGCTACTTGGTCGAATGGCGTCATGCGTTAATCTCAATGGCCTGTTTATCGAGACTTCTGCGGGAGAACGGTGGTCCGGGCACTGGATTCGGTGTAGCCCGGTAATTCAACAAGAACGTGTCCAAAATTTCTTCCGTTGTCCCTTCCCCGTTGGACTTGGTCAGTGCACGTTTGAAGGTATCGACGAATCTTTCCGCTTGTCCTATTGGCTGCGGGTGAAACGGAGGGGAGGTAATGTGTACGGTACCCTGTTTTCTGATGAATTCGGAGAATTGCTGTGATGTGAACTGACTGCCATTATCGGGCACAAGCGTCTCCGGAACACCAAAAGTGGAAAACAAATGGCGTAACTTTGAAATTGTTGCCGTTGTGGTAGTATCTCGCACGACGAAAATCTCTGGCCACTTGGTGAAAGCATCGACAACAATCAGGAAACTGACCATTTATCGGTTCAGAAAAATCAATATGGAGGCGAACCCATATCTTTTCTGGTCTCGGCCAAGGTTGTGGTGATTGTCGGTTGGGTAGTTTTTGTGCAACGGCACACTGAAGACAGCTCCGACATATCCTCTCCATTTGTTCATCCATATTGGGCCAATGAACATAACTTCGAGCGAGAGCTTTCATCCGGTTTATTCAGGGGTGTCCCTTATGGAACTGGGTCAAAATCCTGCAGCGGAGTGCTTCAGGGATCACTCGATCGGCAAAGATAAGCCAACCGTCAACGATTGATAGTGCATTTTGACGTTGGAGCAGTTGTCGCAGTTCTCCGGGTGGACAAGTAGGCGGCCAATGTGACTGGTGGTAGTGCATCGCTCGTTGCAACACATTGTCGCTGCTGGTGGCCTCACGAACCATGTCAGCGGTAATCGGCAGATGTTGGATTGTTTGTTGAACAACTGCTTTGATTTCAGGTTCCAAAGTGGTTGATGCAATGACTGCTTCTTCCGATTGCTAGTTGTGAGGATTGATCAATCGTGAAAGGGCATCTGCTTGGTCAGTCTTATCCGTCGGAGTGCACTTGTTTTGGGGGGACAAGATAGTGTTCGTATCTGGTTGCGTTGATTTGTCCACTTTCTTAACTTGGTTTGGTGTGGATGAACATAGCTCATCGATTGTCATATGTGTAAGTTGCAGGCGATCGATCCAATCGATACCAAACAAGTCCAATTCACAATCGACTAAAAAGATTGATCCACGACTTCGTTTGCCTGATATTTCCATCTCACACTCAAAAGCGCCAAGTAAATCGGTTTTACCTCCTGAGGCGTTTCTGGCCGTGTTGATTGTTGGTGTGTACCTTATGCAGCCAGTTTTCTTCCAAGTACGTTTAGATACCAGTGTGATATCGGAGGCCGTATCGAGCTGCAAACGAAATGTTTTTTCGTTTGTTTTGGCCGTCACGTACTTCCGACGTAGCTGGAAATTTGGTTCGATTGTGACAAGGACAGCGTTGAATTTGGGCTGTTTTCGTGATCTGCTACTTGATCTGCTGTAGCGGCTGATCGTTCTGTTGTGCCTTTTGGTTCGGCACTGTGTCTCCTTATGGCCACGACGATTGTAGTGTACATTTATGTTTCTTGTAAGGGCAGAGTTTCACAAAGTGCCACTCACCGTACTGCCAGCAAGCTGATGGCTTTGTTCCTGCAGGTCCAGTTACCGTATCACGCTGTTTGGGAGATGTTTGCGCCACATGAAAAGGATCTTTGCGTGATGGGTGCTCCAACATGCTTGTGTTGTGCTTGAGATTCATGAGACGTTGACACTCATGAGTGACCTCTTGCAACGTTATATCGGGAGATCGTTCGATCTCGTTTAACAATGATGTTCTGTAATCACTGTCAGAATAGGACTAGAGACCACAAACGAAAACCAAGCATTTGAACTGATCCTCTGTCGTAGTAGATAACTTGAATTGTTCGCGTTCAACATGGACTCTACGGCATGTGATAAAATCTTGTTTGACCAGTTTCATGCAATGGTAACGAATATTAAGCAAGGACGAACGCTCACCGAAAATTTCTGACAATTGCTGGACAGTTTCATCAAAGGTGAAATCTCGGGCATTTTTCGGTAAAATGAAATTGGTGTAGCACGTGTGTTCAATGGTACCAAGCTTTCTCAGCAAAAACCACACTCCATGCATCATCTTTGTTCTTCAGTTCGAATTTGGAAATATCTGCGTATCGTTTAGACCACGACTCGAAAAAAATGCCAGCATCAGGTTCAGAATGGAACTCCGTGATGCTGTTCACAATTGCGTCGACTGGATTTGATTCTGGAACTTGACTTGATGACTGAACTCCCAGTTTCTGCGTCAATGTTTCTATCAAACGCAACTGTGCCGCTTCAAACTGAGTTTGCTGTTGATGCAGGATTGTTTTTAATTCCTAAGCGGTTATGGACATTTTGCATGAGTTTCCCGTCGCCAAATCTGTTGTGTACTGACTGTTGCTGAGACTGCTATCGCATCACCAACTTCCGAGCCGAAGAAGAGAACACAATTAAAATGGCACAGGACAGTATATTAGAGAAACGAGTGTCTTCCTTTTTGTGTCGTCCTTACGCGTTAGCATTCGTTCTCTTTTATTGCGTCCGGTGCGTTCTGAACGTTCGATATCAATTGGCCAAGTCGTCGAACCGTCCGTGGTGAAATACAGTGAACGATCATTTCAGGCCGGAGGCTCACCCAGCTGCGGCTTTATTTTTTTATTTGGCTCTTCTCGCCAAACATATGACTTTTTCGACCGGATTTTTTGTAATTTAACCTTCCTGACAAATATACACGATAATGAGTTTTCCGCCATGATCGATCGGTTCACACAATCGTTTCTGCAATCACTTAACTTTACTAGTGTTTTAATTCCAGAAGGCGGTGCTGGTCGAGGATAGTTGTGTATTAAGGATCGCAGATTTGACATCACTAATTCGATATACGTAGCATAGAAATCTGATCGGAAACACCCCATCACAGTTCCTAGCCACGCGACGGGTAATAAATGTTGAAATCGATAGTTCTTCTTTAAGACCCAGCAAATTGCCCTCAATGATCTTGTTGATTTTTGGTCGTTGAAAGTAATCACCAGCAATGTTACCTACTACTCACAAGTGAGTAGTATCTCACCACACAGTTACGGGGCACCACCTGAGTAAAGAGTTGATATGTGGTATGGCAGACCACCAAGTATATGCTGCAGCAGTTCGGCCAGTACTACTCTACAGTGCAGAGACTTGGGCATTACGGAAAAAGGATAAAAATAGATTATCGGTGCTCGAACACTGCTGTCTACATAACATTGCACGAGTCTGGTGGGGTAGCCGGACGAGCAATGCTGAGGATAGGCTTAGTGTTTTAGGCAGTCGCGGTCGTCCACTGGAGCAAGTGATCGACCTCTATAGATTACGTTGGTTTGGACATGTTTTACGCCTGTCACCAAATAGGTTGCCACGGCAAGCGATGTTTGCCGAGACAGGTAGCGGTTGGAAAAGGGTGGAGAGTGGTCAAACGAAGACCTAGCATGAGGGTATGAAAATCCCAACCAGGAGACTAGGTCACATAGTTCCCGTTACTCCCTGGCTGAGGACCCCGGGATGATGATCACCGATGGTTAGATACACTGAGTGTCATGTTTGTATGTCACAAACAGTGGCGTTCGTGCATCTACTCATTATTTCCCTAACACCATTCTATATGAACTCTCCATCTTCCGCTTGAATTTGCTTTCAACATTCAAATCATCATTCTGCTCTTTTATCCAAATGGAGCACCAAAATACAGCAACCAAAACCGGCGCACGAAAGTACATGGTTAATGGTTGTGAAAACCGAAACTGAACTAAAGCTCACGATGTTCAACCTGTATGTCTGGGATACAGACTGTCGTACAGCTTGCATCGTCTTACACAATTGGTTCACCGGAAGATGTTGACCTAAGCACACTGAGAGGGATGTGGCCATTTGATAAAACTTGTCAACAATCCAATCCACCTTTCGATTGTAAACTTTTTACATAGAAACTACTTCTACAACTTTACGTGCAGTGTCCATGCTCGTGGGCGTGTTGGAGTTTCGTCTTACAAGCGATCTGTTTGCAGCCAAAAACGATGGGTTTCAGTAGAAAGCATCATAACGTAGACGGATTTGACCCCTCATCAGATAAGACCATCACCTCTGTTTCGGCGACTGATGAATAGTCTGGGTTGCGGACTCCAAAAGAAGTTGAAAGGAACTTGCATGTTGCCTATTACATTCCGAAGGAACTGCATATTTTTACTCAGAAAACCAAACTATCCCCACGTAGGAGAAATTTGACCTAATTTTGAAAGGAATGTTCTTTGTTGTAAAAAAAGAAGTCAGGAAAATAACCATGTCAATATTTCATCCGACCTTAATATGTTTTTTTTTCTGTTTACGCTTCAGCTCCAATTGTATTGGAACACGGAGGCACTGTTCCTGCCCCAAGCGAACCTGCGGAACCGGCTGGCGAAGAAGCAAAATCCTCGGCGTGATCCAAGATAACGGGTTCGCCCGGTCGTCGCCTCACACGGACTACTCAATCCCCATCCTTGTCCACCTCCACCTTCATGCACATACATCAAATGCTGATAAATTCTCTTAAGCTATAACGTGTATGCCAAATGTAGGCGCTGACATCCCTCCCATCACAATTTACCCTCCGCTCTTTTC